AAAAATAGATAAAAAAATTTTAGTTACAATTACATGGCCTTTACTTTATTAATATACCTGTAATGCTTGTTGAGTTCTCAAAAGACTTGAAACAACTAAATAGTAACTATTCTACCGAGTCTCTCCTAGAGACACTATACTATAATACTTGTTATAAGTTATTTTTTGTTGGTCATGAAGTTTTGTGATAAAGTATTTGTTGTTCATATTTCTAAAATATGTAGCTAACCGAATCGCTTAATCTATTGTAGTCTTCAAGTCGGTAGATTCTTTAAAGACTTCACCAATGCACAAGTTCAATTGATGGACATAGCATGGTAGGAATACATATCTCTGTGAATGAGCTTTAACCTTCGTCTAATATTAATCAAAAATAAATAAGCAAGGATTAAAATTGTAAAGGAATCAATTAAAAAATACCTAGCTGCTGCATAGAGGCTAGCACTATCAGTTATGACTGCTGAAACTTTTATATTCATACCTTTTAACTCCTCGATCATTGTATTTGTTTTTTCCATTACTGAAACATAAGATTCTCTTTCTGAACTAATGTCTACTGCCTTCCATACATATGGTCTTCCTTCTGAAGTAATTATCATTACCTCTAATAATTGTTCATTCTTCACATTTGTTCACCCATCGAATGTGAGAGTTTCGCCAATTAAATCTTCATGAAGTGCCTCATACATAGCTATATCATGTTCAGAAACTGCTATCTCTAAAATTTATCCACTAAGAGTTCGATGATCTGGAAGCTTAAGGTGAGGATTTAAAAACTCAAACAATTTTTGTGCTTCAGGTTTATTTACTCAATTAAACGCTCACTCGCAAGAAACTGTTAATCTTAATAAAAGGATTTTAAACTTTTCATTATCTGAATATGACAATAGCCTAACAATATAATGATCAAGAGGTCCATACGAAGAGGATCGTAAAACTTTTCTGACTGATGATTGAGAGGATGTAGTTACGGCATTGTAAGATGAACCTGGAAAAACTATAAAAAATATATATTAATTTAATTTCAAATTATAGATTTTATATGAATCTAATTCTTACTTGACTATTTTGTTTTATCATCTTTAGATAGAGCAAAGATTTTTTCTCTTTACTCAGATGTCATTTTTTCAATAAAATGTATGTATTTTTTAAGGTGCAAAATTATTCTATCAGTTTTATTTGGAAAAAAAATTTTCTTTCCCTCATCTTCGTCTAGTATTTCAATGCACACCTCACAAAAATATTTAATGTTACTTTTATTAATCTTTTCCTGGCTTTTAATGATATATGGGTCTAATAATTTGGGTATTGGCGGCATTATTGGATTGGTAATATTTTTCAATTTAAAAAGTAAATAAAAAAAAAAAAAATATATATCGATATATGCTCAAGCGGAAGTGGAATATCCACAAGACTTTATAAGATTTGGGTTATGTTAATACACTAACATTATATTAACATTCTATTTATTATAAAAAAACAACGTTCACTTCTAAAATATACAAGAGAACAATATAGCATTTAATAAAGGGGGAATATAAGCCATTTTTCTTTTTAAATCATCATTATCATTATATATTTCTTAAAATACTTCATAACACATACTTAATAAAGAGAAAAAAAAAAGTCTTTTTTCTTTTTAAGCCGCCATTTATCGTCTTAAACTTTATCTTAGTTATAGTTTTCAAGAGATGTATTTTTAGAACAAAAAGTATATAACATAATCATGAGTCTTTATCTTGATTATAGTTTTCAAGAGATCAGCATTTTTTTGAATAAAAAGTACATCATGAGTTTATAAAGCATTACAGTTACAATTACTGTATATAGAATTTATTTTCTTGTATTCTATTAAAAGAAAATGGTGCATAATCTCTCACCAATAAATCATTGGGACAATTCTGACATTGTCTAACATCCACCGCTGATATTTGATATTTCTGTTGTATTATCTAATCTAATTAATGCTTGGATATTAGACAATGTCCAGCGGATATTGTCCAATGTCCAAGCATTTGATTGGTCAATAATCATACGAAGGGATTATTGACCAATTAAATGCTTGGATATTGGACAATGTCCACCGGACGTCTGCGTCTGCCATATACTGTATCATGCGAACAGTGTCTGATAACAATCTATTTGTTTGGACATGTAGTAGATGCAGATATTAGACAATGTCCAAATATGTCCATGTCCAAGAAATATGCGCGGACAGTATCCATGTACAATACTGGTTATATGTACAACTTTAGTTATTATCTATTTAAGTAGTCTACTACACAGATATTAGACTATCTGAGTAGTTCTATATAAGCTACTATACCTGTAACTTGCTTGTAAATTATCTATTTAAATACTCTGTTCAATATACTGTTATATATAATTCTAAATTAATATCATTACAATATCTAACTACTATTAAACAGAGAATTTACCTCTTCTAGAGTTTTTAAAGACTACTGATTATAGTTTGAAGACTATAACTTTATAGCTTATTATATAGTATTTGAAATTAAGACTTAAGAAAGAGATTTTTGTAGTAATTTATTTTAGAGCTAAGAAGCAAATAATAAATAGTATATGAAGATACTAAGTATTATATCTTTATTAAAAATTGTATAAAAACAAAACTACTTTATTCAAAAGACAAAAAGGTAGTACTTTTATAGATAATTTATATATATAAATTATTATAATAAAGATAAATTAATTAAAAATAACTATACTAAATAATAATAAATAATATAATATATATAA